CATAAATTAAAATTACAATAATATTTAATCTCCTAATTTGCGCCTAATAAAATTACAAGCCAATTCATGATCTTTGAGCTGCTTCTCAGTCATTCCAGATGTGTCCTTCATGAGAATTTCATACATTGCACTAAAGTTAGCTGCTTCCTTCGCTTCAGCCAATTTCTTTACTGCAGCACTTCTTTCTAACATTGCTTTTGTCATGTTCTCCAACTCCTCTTTGTTGGAAGATGTTTCGCCAACCTTTCCTTTACTTTTTCTCTTCGCTGCTTTTTGACCTATTGGACGAGACATTGGTGTTGTTGGGTCATATTCTTCACAATCATTGGCTGCATCTGTGTTAGAAGACGTTGAGTATTGCCCAGATTTTGAAATCTTTGATCGTTTGGAAGAGCTCTCCATTGATTCCGATTTCCATTTTGGCTCATCTCTTAATAATAGCCATGCATGCTCAAAATTGAATTTTTCACCTACATCTTGCGAGTAAATTTTATATGCATTTGCCATGATGTCTTTTTCTGAGTTGCCACTTTTTTTTTATCACGAGCTTGTTTATAACATCCGACAAATAATTGAACAGCTTTATTGATTCGAAACCAACGACTTTTTAACTGACCTGGATTTCTTACTGGAAATTGATTGCGATTGTTGTTGTAATTCTCCTTGATTCTAATCCAGAAACTATTTCCAGTTTGATCAACTCCAACAATTGGATCCTTCGAAATGTTGAGCCATGATTGAATACTGTTGGAGTTGCATCTATAAATTCATGTGCAATATTCAATTCATTTGCATTCTATTCTTCACCTTATCTAATTTATTTGCACTCTATTGTTAAGCTTATCTAGTTCATTTCCACTCTATTGTTCAGTTTTTTTTGCATTTCATTGTCTAAGTTTACAATTTTTTTTCAAAATTTTTACTATTCACATCCAAAAAGAAATAAATTATTTTATTTTTGTTCATTTGTAATTTTTTTTATATTCTAGCACATGGATCCCAATCAATTTAATTTTCAAAGTTATTTTAATTTTTTACAAAACCAACCACCACCTCCAACCCCTTCCGATGAAAATTCTCAAAATCCTCAATTTTTTACATACCCACCACCACCACCACATTCAACCAATGATAATTCTCTAGACCTAACTAACTTTTTTATAAATTTAAATATGACCTTTTTTTATATAAATAAGTTTTTTTATTATTACATCATTAATAATAATAATAATAATAACTTGCAATAAATTTAATTTTAAAATTGTTTTATGTTATACTTTTAAAATTTTGTTAATTTTTGTAACATTATTTAATTTTAAACATTTGATTAGTTGCTTTTGTAAATGTTGTTTTTACGAAAGAATTAATTACTCTCTTGATGGAACTAGCTTCTTAATGAAATAATGTTTTATTATTAAAATGTATTATTATATTAAAATAATTTTTTAAAAAGATATTGTTTAATTGTTGTAAAAAAAATAAAGTTGTTTAATTTGCTGTTTTAATTTATTCTAAAGTCTAAACAAATTGTTTGTTCACATATTTAGACCAATTACAGGTGAGAGATGGTTGTATAGCAGATTGAGTGGATTAAAAACTATGAAGGTGTGAGTACGATGGGCGTAAAGAGATATTAGACTTTAGAATGATTTCACAAATGAGTAAAAATGTTTTCGATTAGAGTAGGAGATCAAACATGGATCAACAATAAGACAATATAGTATATATATAAGTGAACAGTAATGTTGATATTAAAAGTTGATTTTTACATCATAACATCAATCGAGGGAGTGGCCGCGACGTCTGTGACATTGGAATTGGAAAAAAAGAAGAATTTTGTATTGATTGAAAATTGAATTTACTTTAACAATTTTATAGTTAATTTGTTTCCTTGAAGCAGATACAGAGTGAGATAAGCATTGCATTGATAAGTCGGGGATAGTTAACAAGAAAAAATGACTCTCTTACTAAATTATTTGTTTGTTTGTTTTTTTGATAAGCTCTTACCAAGTTATCTGGCCAATAAGAAATTAAGTAATGTTTAATTCTAACTCGTTGGATTTTTAGAAGTTTTGGATGTAGTCAAATTAACTTATTGGATTATAATTAAGCATAAAAAAGAAAAGTAACAAGTGATTTTTAATTTTTAATTGTTTATAATTTATATTAAAATATTTGACAACTTTAATGCATTTTATTGAAATAAAAATAAACTTTGAATTAAAAAAATTATATTCACTAATGATAATTTAATTTTGTGATGCTCCTTTAAAATTTTATTTTTATTGCTTTAGAATTAATTTAAATTAGATCTACAACTTTGTTATACCAACTAAAATGGCATGAAACACCATTTGAATCCTTAAAAAGCAATACAAAATTCATGATAAAATTTCATTTTCTTTAAAGATAAAAATGGTGAATTTTACATTTTATTTAGAGGACTAATACCAAAAACGATTAAATTGGTATATATTTTGCGAAATAAAAAGATGTACTTTATTTCTATTCTGATTTCCGTGAGAGTTTTACACTTTAACATATTAATTTGCAGTCATTTTCAGTTCAGTATTTTAAGTATTTAAAGTTACCACGCCAACTTATACGTGGTGGTTTGCAGCTAAGAAATCAACAGGGGAAGGGAGAAGGATTAATTAAAGATTAAATGAAAAAAATACTGTGAGATATTTCATATTTCTCTGGCGTGGAAGCCAAAGGAGAGAAATTGTCCATAGCAAGGGAGATAAACCAGTTGTGTGAATCAGTAATTAATTAACATTAATTAGTTAATTAATTAATCAAGTAGTATAATATGTCACTCTCACTAAGTTCCAACTACTTATTTCAAACACCGGTGATACATTCAATTTGATGTTTTAAAGCTTTTTAATTAACCCACCACCCTATTTAACCCATTTGATTTTTTTTTTTTTTTTTCAATTTTCCTTCTATTCCTATCTTAAATGTCAGTGACAGTACCATGGCTGCAGAGATTGGCCTTGTGTCCATGACCCAGATCCAAAAGCTAACACAACTCCAACACCGCAAAAACCAACAACCTCACCCAAACCCTAACCCCTCTTCCACTTGGATGTGGAACCCTAGGGAGGAAGAAGAAGATGACTCGTGGGAAGTTAGAGCCTTTGCAGAAGACACAAGGAACGTCATGGGCACCACATGGCCTCCAAGGTCCTACACCTGCACCTTCTGCCGAAGGGAGTTTCGCTCTGCCCAAGCCCTTGGCGGCCACATGAACGTCCACCGCCGCGACCGCGCTCGCCTCCACCAACCACCACCCTCCTCCTTCATCAATATCCCTCCCCAGGAACTTGTTGCAAATGCTGGATTGTGCCTCCTTTACCACTTGCCAACAAGCCCTAACACTAGTACTATTACTAATACTAATAATACTAATACTAGTACTAGTAGTAGTACTTGTGCACCCTTTCCTCCTCCCACTACTTCTCCCTCCACTCTTCTCTCTATCTCTCCAAACAACTTTCTCATGCAAACTTCCTTTAATTTCCCTTCAACTCGGATCAACACCTCTTTCTGCTCTAGTTCAACCAAACTCCAACAACCCTCAACCTCTTCCTCTATCCATGATAACACCCACCTCGAAGAGATTGATCTAGAGCTTCGTCTTGGACACAAGCCGTAAAGCTAGCCAGCCTCAGAAATTCATAAACATATTTATAATAATATAGTGTGATGAACCACGACCATATATAGTGGTACTGGTACTGGTATTATAAATTGCTATTTGCTTGTGCGGAAAATCGAGTATTGTGTTATTTGCTCTCTTGTGCAGCTCTGTGGTGTGTGGAGGAGATGGAGCATCATGTCCAGCCTGCGTGTGGCAGATAGGCTTATTATTGTGGGTTTGATTTGCTTATTTGTTGGCTGATTGATTTTGTCTCTGTGTGATTGTGTTTGTGACTGAAGGTGCAGACGGAGGAGCAGGTGGGGTGGGGATAGGGATAGGAGGAG